ACATACTCATAAGAGCATTAAAGAACAATAAAAAACAAAGAGAAAGAAAAGAGAATAATAAAGAACACTTTTAAAGAAGAGAAGAGAAGGTTGTTGCGATGGGGAACCCATGAGTGGCTAGCCCCGCATGCACACCGCCTTTAGTGAGCGGCCTCAAAATCAAAAAGAAGAATTGTATAGTCCGTTAGAAGTGCATGTGGATGAGGATTGTACCCAGAAAGAATTAGAGAATACACTCACACGGCCAGAGTTCTGAATCCATACCTCAACCGAGTCCGATCGGCAAGAAAGAATAGAGAGAAAGAAAGAAATAAAGAAAGAATAAAAGAATAGAAAGAAAGAAAGAAAGAAAGAAAGAATAGAAATAAATAAATAAATACAGAGAAAAGAAACAAAAAACAGAATAAGAAAACAGAAAAACAGAAAAGAAAATGCACATCCTATGCATTTGTGCATATGCATTATATTTATGCATGATCCCATTTCCACTATCCTGAGTAGTGAGAAACTAGAGTTATAGAAAGAGCAGAGAAGAATAGAAAAGTTTGATGTAAGGAAAGAAAATCAGAATAGGAGCAATAGAGATAGAAGGGTAGCATAACGGGTTTACTTACTGAGCAATTAGTGCTCACCCCATTGTTTTCAATGTTTTTGCAGGTAGTAGATGAGATGCGGTCTGATGGAGCGTCAAGAACCGAAAGGGTCTGCCAACACTATCGAGTTTATTTTTGAGTAATTTTGTTACTTGATGTACAAATTTGTATATAAAGAAAAATTAGTATGGGCTCTCTATTTCATACTCAACTACATGTATATTTTCTTATATATCTATTATAGTGAGTTTTGCTGTATATTTCACAAGTATACTAGCTAGATAAAGAGAAGCATTACATTCCGTACATCAACCAAGATTGGCCTCTAACAAGGCATTATGATTACTCAACAAATAAAGATTTTGTGAAATCGCTACCTGTCAACAGACGGTTACCGTGCAATCAAATCATTTAATCATATGTTATCCCATCAGGCTAAGGCATATAAGTAATGTCAACCTCAGATGTTATCTTGATGTATTAGCATCTAGTTATTGGATCAACGACCAAATTATAATTGGATTGAACAACGACTCAATCCCGCTATGGCCATAGATTTATGTGTTGTATCCACTTAACCAAACTACGCAGTGGGATAACTCTTTCCTATACCTAAGAGTGATGAATTCTATATGGATCCACCATAACCTCAATATACTTCTTTTCTTCACTGGACACTTCTCTTTTTTGGGCTTGATGCTCGCTTCGCTCCAAGAGGTGTCCCAAGCTCCTTTACTTAGTTCAAGCTAGGGATTTTTCCTGTACAATAGAGTTCTTTTCAAGTACCTAAGAATTCTTTTAATAGCGTTCAAATGATATTACTTAGGACATGATTGGAAACATGCACACATGCAAACACTAAACAATATATCTAGCCTAGATGCAGTTAAATAGAAAAATGCACCCATCATGCTTCTATAAAGCTTAGTATCATCACTTTTACCTCCTCATCGGTTTCCAGTTTGAGTGATATGCTCATGGAGTAGGTTGATCTTTTTCTTCATTCATTTTAGATCGCTTAAGGAGATCATGAATGTACTTGGATTGATTCAACAAGATCCCTTCCTTTCGTTGCTTGATTTGTAATTCGAGAAAGTAGTTAAGTTCTCCTATCATGCTTATCGCGAATTCACCTTGCATCAGCTTAGGAAATTCCTTACAAAGGATTTTATTAGTAGCACCAACGATGATATCATCAACATGTATTTGAACTACTAAAATGTCATGCTTTTGTCTTTTAGTAAACAAGGTGGTATCCACCTTTCCTTTTGAAAAAAACATTTTGAACAAGCAAACTACTCAATCTATCATACCAAGCTCTAGGAGCTTGTTTTAAACAATAAAGTGCTTTTGAGAGTTTAAAAACATCTTAAAAAAGTTTAGGGTTTTCAAATCCGGGTGGTTGTTTAACATAAACCTCTTCTTGTATGAAACCATTTAGAAATGCACTTTTGACATCCATTTGAAAAAGTTTGAAATTTAAATGGCATGCATAAGCAAGTAAAATTCTAATAGCTTTTAATCTAGCAAGGAAGCATATGTTTCATCAAAATCAATATCTTCCTTTTGAGAGTAGCCTTGGCAACTAACCTTGCTTTGTTTCTTACCATTATACGTTGCTCATCATCTTGTTTCGGAATACCCATTTGGTGCCAAGGATTGGATGGTCCTTAGGTCTTGGTACAAGCTCCCATACTTTGCTTCTCTCAAATTGATTTAGCTCCTCTTGCATTGCATGGACCCAAATTTCATCATTAAGTGCTTCATCCACTTTCTTAGGTTCCACTTGAGACAAGATGCTATGAAGTGGCAAGTGTTCCTCATTGATGCTCTTGTTCTTACTCTTTGAGTGAGATTGCCAACAATTTGAGCATCTTTCACTTCATCTCTCACTCTTGGAAATGAGTTCTCCCTTAATGTTTCTTTAGGTTTAATAAATGTGTCATCTTCATCATTTACCTATTCTTGATGTTCTTCTTCTTTGTTGTTGGATAATGGTGAAGTTTCATCTTTCATTTCCAGCTCTTTCGTCAACTCATCAACTTCTTCTTCATTGTCATTTTCTGTATTCTTAGAAGAAGATTCATCAAATAACACATGTATAGATTCTTCAACTAAGAGAGTTCTTTTGTTGAAGACTCTATACACTTTTGAATGAGAAGAAAAACCAAGAAAAATTGCTTCATCCGCTTTGGAATCGAATTTTCCAATCAAGCACAAAACATTTGCAACCAAAGGATGAAAATATGCAATATTTGGCTTTTCTCCTTTGAATAACTCATAGGGAGTTTTCTTGAGGATTGGCCTAATCATAGCTATATTAATGATTAGCATGAAGTATTGACCGCCTCGGCCCAAAAATATATAGGCATATTATGGTCATACAACATGGTCCTAGCCATGCTCATTGCAATATTATGTTGAGGAGTCCTAGGTGCAGAAAATTATGCTCAATGCCATGCTCATTGCAATATTATGTTGAGGAGTCCTAGGTGCAGAAAAATTATGCTCAATGCCATGCTCATTGCAATATTATCCAAAAAATGTATTTTCAAATTCTTTTCCATGATCGCTTCTAATGCATGCAATTGTATAACATACTTGGTTTTGGAATTTCCTAATGAAATGCAAGAATGATTCAAATGCATCATTTTTGTGCACAAGAAATAACACCCATGTAAAACGTGAATAATCATCAACAATCAAATAGTGCTCACCTCCTAGACTAGTTGTCCTTATGGGACCACACAAATCCATATGCAACAATTGTAAAGGTCTAGCAGTTGATACAACATTCTTTTGTTTAAAACAAACACGAGTTTGTTTTGCCTTTTGCACATGCACCACAAACATGATCCTTTTTAAAAACAAGTTTAGGCAAACCATGCACTAAATCTCTTTTTGAAAGCTTTGCAATAACTTGCTTGCTTGAATGACCTAATCTTCTATGCCAAAGCCAACTATCTTCACCTTTTGTGGACAAAAGACAAAGATCTTTGGATGCAATTTCACACACATAAGCAATATAAACATTTTAATTTCTATGACCTATAAATGGAATGCTATTGGTGCAAGAATCAACAACTTCACAACACATGGATTGGAATAAAACTTTGAAGCCCTTGTCACTCAATTGACTAATACTCAATAGATTATGCTTCAATCCATCTACAGGCAAAACATCATGAATAGTTAGAGACTTGTTAAAATAAAGCCAATGCCAATGACTCTTCCTTTTGGGTTATCACGAAAGTGGATGTTTCCTACATTCTTTGGCTTCAATGAGATGAATATATACGTACCTTTTGGTACTCAAATGGTCTTGGTCCGTGGGAGTTAGTTTCAACCATTCCCTTAGGAATCTAAAACCTTTTTACTACAAAAGGCTTGCCTTTCCTAATAGAACATTTGTGTGTGCTATGACCAACGTACTTGCAAAAACCACATTTACTAAAAGATGCATTTGGTTTAATGGATGGCTTATGCGTTTTGGTAAAAGGTTTTTCATTTGAAAACATGTTATAGCCTAAACTTTCTTTGTTAAAAGCACATCTTTGTGAAGCAAGCATTTCATCAAGTCTTTTGTTTCCTAAAGTGAACTTACTCAAAATCCCTTTAGTATTTTCAAGCTCCTTTTTGAAACTAATGGTTTCATTTTGAAAATCCATACAAAATAATTTCAAAACATCAATTTCTTTACTCAAGAGGATTTTATCACATGCTGCACAATCAAAATCATCTTTGAGTTGCTCATGTTCACTTAAAAGCTTTTCATGATCACTCAAAAGTTTTTCATGCTCATTTTTCAAAGTACTTGCTTTTTTCTTTAAAACATGATTTATCAAAGACACTTTTTAATATTCTTCCATTAATGATTCAAAAGCACATTGTAATTCCATGAAACAATAGTGTACAAAGTCATTTACCTCAAATTCAAAGTCTCCTTCCGAATTGCATCCATTGGCCATGAAGCAAATGTTGGCTTGCTCTTCATTTGACTCATTTTCATCGCTTGAGTCATCACTTCCACTCTATGTGGCTGCAAGAACCTTCTTCTTGTAGAATTTGTCATTTTTGTCCTTCTTCTTCCATTTGGCTTTGGGACAATCTTGATGAATATAGCCCGACTTCTTACACTCTTGGCAAATGATATCCGATTTACCTTTTTCCTCTTCATTTCTTAGTTTGAACCTTTGGAAATTTCTTCCTTTGAATCTTTTGTTCCTTCCAAGAAACTTAGTGAACTTTCTTATCAAGAAGTTGATTTCATCTTCTTCCATAGAGGAATCAACTTCATCTTCTTCATTTATCGTCTTGAGGGCAATCTCTCTCTTTGGTTTGCTTTCATCTTCTTTGGCTTTTTCTTCATCTCAATAGTGAACAAGCTACCGATAAGCTCATCCATTTTCATTTGGTGAGATCTTTGGATTCTTCAATCGCGGTCACCATCATTGTCCAAATTTCTGGCAATGAAGGAAGGATTTTCTTTACAAGCTCAAGAGTTTCAAAACTCTTTCCAAGACCCTTGAGGTTGTTTATCAAGTTGGACAACCCTGTGTATATGTTGGTGATGGTTTCTCTGGTTTTCATCTCAAATAGCTCATAGTCACAGAATAGAATCTCGATCTTTGATTCCTTCACTTGACATGTTCCTTCATGAGTTGTTTGAAGAATTTTCCATGTATCTTTGGCAGTTTTACATGCCGAAACTCTTCCAAACTCTGTAGAATCAGGAGAACAAAACAATAAGTTAAGAGCTTTGTCATTTATACTTAATTTCTTTTTATCTTCAATGGTGTAGTCATCTTCCCTTTTTGGAAGACTTGAATTAGGGTCCATGGGAACGTAGTTCCCTTATACTACTATTTTCCATAAATTGTAATCTATGGACCTAATATGAAGTCTCATCACACTACAAAACAATAAGGGTCTTGTAGTGTAATGATCTTCATTAAACATAGGTGTTGATGTACTAGTCATATTTAGATCGATTAACTCTTGAAACCGTTAAGTTTTCTACACAAAAGCCGAAGCTCTATTACAAATTGTAAAACCCTATATGGCAAACTATTCCTAAAGGGGGTGAATAGGAACTTATAAAGATAATTGCGAAATAAAAACTTTCACCAACCAACCAAGTTAAGAGCTCAAAACAACAACAAAGATAGACAATAAATGAGAATGATGTTGAACAATAAGGATAAACAATGTTAAGCAATAAATGAAAGAAAGTTATAAATATAAGCAATGAATGATTGCAAATGATGATAATGCTTCAAGTAAATACGAAAGGAATAATAAATGAGTTGAGATAGAAGAAATGCTTAGAGATTTATAGTGGTTTAGAGCTATATCCATAAGCCTCCTGCATCCACTTCTTCAAGGCAACCTCCTTAAAGTTCCACTAGAATCAGATTTCACCCTTCACACTAGATTGAAAAGATTTGGCCTCTTACAATAGTTTGACAGGATTTCACCTCTAAATTTATAGGATTTTGCCCACAAGATATTTGAATAAAAGTATGTGAATGATTGTCTCTTAATCTAGCCTTAAACACATAATAAGAACAATAATCTCAAAGGTTTACAAATGAGTACAAAAGAGTGATGTTTTGATTTGGATTGTCTCTTTCCTTGAAGCAAAGAGTCATTGCTACTATAAAACCTAGAGGAACGGGTGTTCCACCATCATGAATGGTTAGTCCTTTCATAACGATTGCTCTTATAGCTTTAGGGTTTCTAGAATTATCGTTCCACCATTGCTAACGGTCATTCCACCACGGGTAATGGTTGGTTCATTGGCTCCTTAGAAAATCCATAAAATTCCATAAGCATGCATGACTTCCTAGAATGATGACGTTCTGCCAAGAACAATCTTTGAGTGGGAATAGTTATTCCACCATGAGGAATGACTGTTCCACTTTAAATAAATGAACTTCAACTTGATCTTCAAGGCTTGTCTTCCAAGATTTGTCAAAGGCATGAAACGATTGAATTCTGAGTACTTTGAACTTTTGACTTTTAACTTGAATGGAGCAAGCGTACTTCTTGGTCATGACGTTGTGAGCGACTTGACTTCATTTTAGGTAAAAGCATGCATGATTAGGGCTATGACTAGAGCCGAGTCGTCCACGAGTGGCTCGGGCTCAGGTCGGGTCAAGCTCGAGATCAGATCGATATTTCTTAAGCCAATCTTGAACTTGAGCTGATCTCGAGCCAGTTATGGCTCTGCTCAAGAGCCTACATGAGCTTGATAGGATATATATGTAAGTTTTTGCAATTATGAGGGGCTTTACGTAATTTTTTATTTTGCATATAAAATTGAAAAAATTGTAGAAACCTAACTTCTTCTTCTTCCCTTACCAACTCATTTCTCCTTCTCATTCTTCTTTTTCACTTTCTTCTTTCTTCTTTCTTCTCCTTCTTTTTTTTTTTTTTTCTATTCTTTGAAAAAAGGCAACAAAGTTGATTGATGACACCTTAGATCTACTGTTTTTATTTCCTTCTTCACGTTTTTTTTCCCTAAATGACTTTTTGTGTTGATTAATGGTGTTAGGGGGCTGTGGTCATTTGGTTCTTTGGTTGTGAACTATTGTGGTGTTTTTCTTGATAGATTGTTGGAAAGGTGGGGTAGTGGTGGTTGATGGCTTGAAGAGGCTGGTTAAGGGTGGTTCAAGAAGGACATCATGAAATGGTTTGGGAGCTGCCCACCAGCTATTTGGGAAAATGCCTCATCCACTCCCCAATTTTCTTTTATGTTTGGTTTCTTTTGGGCTATTGATTGTTGTGTACATGTCGAGCCAAGTTTGATTAGCCCAAAGCTCGGCTCAGCTCGGCTCGATAATAGCCCTATGCATGATCATATGGAACGTTGTCGTGCTAAGAGGAACGTGTATCTGGGCAACTCTATGAAGCTAGGAACGGTCTTTCCTTCATCTTGCATGATCGTACCAACTGGGAAAATTGTATTTTGTTTTTGGTTAACTTCTTGTCATACCTTTGCATATTTGTTAAAAACCAATCAACTCTTTGGTTATTTTTAGCACATCAAAACACATGAGGGCTCAACAAAGACTTTTAATTGTGTCAATTTCAATAGATGGTTGGAAAGGATTTTTGACACCTTGTATGTCATAAACCTTATAGAATAGCTCACATACCCAAAACCTGAGTCAGCTACTAAACATCATCAACAATTTCTACACACTTTGAAAAAGGCAACAAGGTATGTTACCATACTATTCTAAGTACATTATCAAATGAGTACTATGAAATCTACCGCCCTTTTAAAAAGGTGCTTGAAATATAGGAAAACATGATAAAGAAATACGCTACAAATGAAAATGGTGTAAAATCATTTTAAGTAGGAGTTAGGTCAACAATGCCCTACTAGATGTGATGAAGTGATCATGATAAACAAGTGAAAATAATTGATCTAGTACAATATTACCTTGAAGAAATGACAATTGAGTGTTTGATGATTATTTATGATCTCATCTCACTAATGCTTTCGTATAATTATATAGAATCTTTTATTATTATTATTATTATTATTATTATTATTATTATTATTTAATCACTTTCATTAGTTGAAAATTGTTCAAAGTTATGAATTTTAAAGAAAATTCTCATGCACAACATTTTGGTTTAAATCTAGAATTTTGTTGGATCACATATTTTGTCGTTCAAAATTTTAGATTAAAATATTTTAATTGAATTTTTGTCTTTTATTATTAATCGACATTGAACAATTTATCTAATTAGGTCTTAATGAGTGTATTTTGATAAGGTCTCTACTAGGTTTTCATGAGTTTATTTTACTGAGGTCTCCATGAAGACACAAACAAAACAACTTGATTAAATAATTTATCAAACACCTCCATCCATTAAGCTTGCTTAGAATAGACATAAAACTACCTTTATAGCATCATCTTAGGAAAATTTTTTACTGCTTCAACATAACACCTACCTAATTAAGCCTCAATAAAATAGAGATCTACAATAGATTCCTACATTCGTGAAATCTAATCTCAATAATGGTTTCTTTTTTTTTTTTTTTTTTTTTTTTGTGATCAGGGTGTCCGTATTAGCTTGCCCGCTCCTCAACTAATCCCTCAGAACCCTAAAGTTGACAACCAGGTAAGCCCCTCAGGGCCACCCATATTACAGCCTGTGGAAACTTGAACTTGTAAGTAAGTGATCAGGTTCACGCAATGGAAAAAACTTAATGTTAAAACGAAAAGATCACTTACACGAACCAAGATCCAAGTACAGATTATAACGTTTTCATGCATAAGCTAAAACGTGAGACAAAATCTATGTAAAAACAAATCCATACAAGGATTTAGTTCATGCCCACATTTGGAGGCTCCTCCAAATATCTCTGTCTTTGCTCACAAACACTATTCATAATACTATTCATCAACACTGTTCACCGGCTACTGTTCATAGACATTGTTCATCGTATTTCTTTGCTAATCAATCCAATGTAGGATTGCACTCACTGAAATCCACACGAAGATAATCCGAAGAACCAACAATTTTTTTACTAGAACAATTGCCGGCTTCAAGAATCAAAGATAATGAAAATTGAAAATTTTTCTTCTTCACTTGAAGAAGAAAACGTGAGAGAGAGAGAGAGAGAGAGCTATAGGGTGGCTAGGGTTTTATTTTATAAAAGCTCTTCTTATGTTTTAATTAAGTTGCACTTATATAGTGCAACTAATTAAAACCCTATTCTAATAAGGAATACCCATGGGCACCAACCCAAGCTTACCCTTGCAACCAAACACCGTGTAATTGGTATTTTAAATTAATTAATTATTATTATTATTAAAATCAATTAATATATATAATAATATATTAACATTTAATTAATAATATAATCTCACGTATTTAATTTTAATATCAAATTAAATACAGGCAACAACCTAAGCAAATTTAAATGCACTGCGAGATTACCAAAATACCTTTTTGTCTTGAAAGACAAAAATAACCTTCTCACAAATTGATTCTTAAATTATCTTCTAAGTGTGTGACCCATAGGCTCCTCATCATATCGGCAATGTGTAGTATTGCGATTAACACCAATTAATTGTCTCACCTCACACAAACCAAGATTGGCCCCTAGCAAGGCATCATGGCTACCCAATAGATTCAGATTCAGCGAAATCGTAGCCTATCAATGATATGGTTACCGTGCAATCAAATCCTTTCATCATCTATTGTCTCATCGAGGCTGAGATACATAAATAGTGTCAATCTCAATTATCCTTGATATCTTTGTATTCAATTACTAGACCAATGACTGGAATAATAAATTGGATTAAGCAACAACTCAATCCCACTGTGGCCACAACTTTAGTGTCATTGCCATTCACTGAATTGCACCGTGAGATAAATTCTCCTGTACCTGGGAGTGATGAATCCTTTGTCGATCCACCATAGTCTCGATACACTTCTCAATGTAGCCAATCACTACCGTATTGATAGCTTTGAATAGAACTGCGTTGGGCTAGTGCCAAACTACACCAATTGGTGCACAAGGTGCTTCGGTGATCTCAAGTCTAAGGATCATATGCACCACCATCCATTAGAGGATTTATTCCATAGACACTAGGGTTACCATCCATATGGAATCCTTTGGTGGGTCTATTCAGTAAACTGGCCTACAACAATCACCCATGAGTCGCACCAGGTTCTTGGCAAACAACCTTGACAAGTGAGATCAGTCACTGCATTTCGACAAGGTCGATCAACATTATGATAGCCTTACCGTATTATTTGTGTCCTTGGTCAGAATAATACAAAGGCTACATATATTTCTAGAATGGCCACCA